ACATAGTAAGTTAACATGATTACAATCAGAGAATTGATGGCGATTTTTGACAAAAGTATTGTAATTACTGTATTTATATGTAAAAAGAAAAAGGTCAAAAAAAGTCTCTTCTCTTTCCCCCTCTGAATTCCTCAAGACGACACTCAACAAGGCACAGGTTCACTCTAGGTTCAACACATGGAAAGAGTAATAGCACATCACCAATTTCATTTGGTATAAGAAACTCCAGTTTGTGACACATTCATTATTTCAAATCAGCTACACCGTAAACTCACGAATGCTGGCCTAATTGCCATGTTAGCTTTCATATAAAGTGTCCTTTTTGACATTGCGTGGGGGGGGAAAGTGTGTCACTTCAGAGAGCTAATATGTCCCCATGTCTATGCACGCTCATATGTCCACGAGCCACTGGCTAACAAAGGTCCCTGTGTGCAACTGTATCAAAGAGAAAGAAAAGCATCAAAGCCAGCAAATTTGATTATTAGTAAGCTTGTCAGTCCCTCTTCTAAAAAAAAAACTTTACGGCTGTGTGGAGACAGAATTCCCCAAAATATAAATGTAGGCATCTGCTAAATAAAGCAGTTAATTCTTGAACATAAATGATAATGCATGGCCCAAAATGTGTTGTTTTAAAAAGAAAACATCGGCTTCCACTCGTAAAATGACAGAATAATCTCAATTGACAGCAGGCTAAAGAAAAGCACAACACAAATAACTCTTATGTTTGCTAATGATTTGGTAGCAATGTTGACATGCCATCTTCAGTATTGTGGATCGATGTGTAATGGATTATTTAAGTTATAGTATCCATCTGTTGTGCGTTAACTGGATCATATGGGAGCTTCTCTAGCGCTAAACGTCAGCAGCGATGACGCTGTACAGCTGAGCACTGTAACAAAGTTATTCTACACCTCGTATAATAGAATCTCTCCTCTATTGATAAATCATCTGTCTAGTGCAATACACAGTGGTTCTTATCTTACATTGCCCGGCAGAGCTGGAGATAATTCAAACACTGAGCCTCTGTACGGTTGCCAGATAATCTCTGTGCACCCTCCCCTTCACCCAAAATACACAGAATGGAAACTTACAAAGACGTTACGGCCTCTCGGGCTCATCAGCCGGGGAAACCATGCTATTACATATTTCACTTGGAGTAAGATAAGATACACACATTCAGACAATGGCTGTATTGTATCTCTCGTCAGACTGGCTGTTTTCATACACTGCATGATATTAAACTGCACGGGCTCGGCCATGCGGATCACAGACTATCCCTGAGTTATTCTCTTCAACTTGCCTCATATTATTTATTAACAACTCAAATGTTATATATTTATTTATGTATTTATTTCAAGTGTGGAATCAGTGTTTGCCCTAAAATCTGCATTTTCCAACTGCTCTCGTGAAAAAGCATGCGCACTTAAGGTATAGTGTACACGTGGATACAGATCATAAAGGGTTACCAACACCATCTTCTTTAGAGCATTGCTGCTGATATAAGTTGTACTTGAGAGGTCATTATCAGCTTTTTACTCCAAATGAATGAATTTGTCTGAAATGTATCTAGCGATGAAACCGTTTTAGAGTCCAAAATATCATCATGTTGAGGATTTCATTTGAGCTCTAAAGGTATAAAATGAAATTCAATATGTTGTTTTTCGTTTACCTTTTGAAGCATTGCTGCTAATCTAAGTTCTACTTGAGAGGTTGGTTTGGCTTTAAATGGAAATGAATGAATCGATCTAAAAAAATGATCGGGGCTGAAACACCACAGTGTAAAACGCTTAATTTGAGTGATACAGATTTCAAATGAAATTCACTATGTTGTCAGTCTTTTACTTAACAACATTCTCTGCTCTCATCTTCCAAAATGCTGACAAACGTCATATGGCGTTCGGTTAGAACAAATATTTTGTGATGCTACTCGGTGGTGTTTTCTGAAGCGATTCAAAAGGGCTTGACCTCAAAAGTGATGTTATAACTTTATCCGACATCTGATATGATTTTCTTTCAACAGGTGACTTATCAAGCAATATCCTAAAACTCACAAATAATTAGTCTACTAGAACCAACCTACCTATACATGGACTTTAGCGGTGCAGGTTATTCAATATTTAATGTCAGTTAATGAGAATTACCCTCCGAGGGGCTTCTTTAAGGCACAATACACTTTACACACAAGTCCTCTCTTTTCCTCATCTCCACTGTCATCCCCCTTACTCATGTGATTCACATTTTATGCATGTGACTCTTAAGGTTGTTTATTTGCCACAGCAATTCTGTCTCAGAGAAAGGTGTTAGATGAATCAAGAGAAATAAATAACTGAGAAGAACCTCACCTGTGCGAGTGTTGTGTCTTAACACTGAATGTTTTTACACTGTGTGTTGTGCTATGTGCGTTTTAAACATCTAAACCACATTCATCTTTTCTTGAATGTTTCCTTAAAGTGGACCTATCATGCTATGTTTAGGCAATAGCATAGATCTCAGATATATAAAAATATATTAAAAACATATCTATGAAGTGTTTTGCTCAAAATACCAAACAGATCACCCATTCTATATATCCCTCTATTTCACTTCCTGTTTCAAAACGGCTGATTTGGGGTATAAAGCTTTAAAAAAATAAAAAATTGATTAACAAAAGGAGGGGGCTGAGATTATGCGGGAGATTCTAGCGGCAGATTCTGCCGTCATAAAACGCCATATCATGGATGATTAAGGATTATTTCTGAAACAGTATGGAGCTCAAAGGCTTTCTCTCTTGCCGGTTATACCACAAGGTGAGTTCCTTTTTATTTCCTGCTTCTTCACACACATGGGCCCTTTCTCATTTCATCAAATCCCCCTCCTCGACTCCTCGACTCCTCGGTCCTCCGGTAGTGACCCGGAAATTAATTTCAGCGCGCCATGTTGAAGGACATCTCATTTCTCTAAATGCACTTCGAGGACCGAGGATCGAGCGTCGAGGAGGCTCTCTGGAGGAGCTATAACCGAGGATACACTGATGGGTCCTCCACGGTCCTCCACGGCTCCTTCGTGGATGCATTTCCGGGAACAGTGATGTTTCAAAGAGTCGTGACGCACGGCCGGACTTATCTCAGCCAATGACAGCTCTTTATATATACAGTCTATGATCCCCTGGATATTATTTTATTAACTGCTTTCATCGCGACGCAATGTTTACAGTGAGAACAGCTGTGAGGTCAGTGCAGAAAGCAGAGCAGTGTGTAAAATATATATCACTCAGTATAACAGGCCTACTCTCTTTATTTGCTTTAGTTTTGTAGATATCTACAAACAAATTATATTATATTTTTCTAAAACCATTTAGTGCTTCACATATGTAGCTTTTAGGAGGTGCGTGTGTGTGGTGTAGGTGTGTGTGTGGTACAGTGTGTGCGTAGATGCAGCGGACAGACAGGTCTCAGTTGGTTTGGTGTCCTCTGCTTACTTTTAATACTTGTAAATAAAACTTTTGGCCCGTCATTTATTTCCCTCATTGTAGCGACCAGAGAGGGGGGGGGGGATATATCCAGTCTCTGATAGTGTTACGTCATTATGAGAGTGCTCTGTTTGATTCTGAAATTGTATATATTTATATAAATATATACATATATGTGTGTGTGTATGTGTGTGTGTGTGTGTGTCCGCATCTGTAGCCTGTTATTGTCTCATTATACCGCACTGTGAATGAATTAAAAGTAAATATATAAGTCGTCATGAACACATCTTTCCATCAGACAGAGGGCTGCTGTGCCTCCTGTCATCATTAATGGACGTCTCTTTAAAATGACCGCTCAGAGGAGAGGAGTTCTCATTTCTCTAACCGCCTGCTGCTTCCCCTCCTCTCTCCTCGGTTCCCCTCCTCGGCTCCTCCGCTCGCATCCCCTGTGGGCGGGACTAAGTATCGAGGATAGGAGTCGAGGAGGGGAGTCGAGGAGGGGAGTTAGAGAAATGAGAAAGGGCCGTGCTCTCCAGTACAGGTAAGCTCTGAGTGTTAGCGATGCTAATGTAAACATGCACTACCCATATACGTCCAAAACAGTCGGGCATTGTTTCTGATAGCAACGTTTCTGATAGGGCCGTGGGTCCACATTTCAGACATCACGTCATATCGGACGCAAATCTGGATCAGCTCCGTTGTAGCCCCGTTTTTAGAGATTTGGGTACGGAGGAAAAGAGAGAGGGTTTTATTTGCTGACGCTGCGTGAGTTCCCCGACACACCAGGAACACATATTTATGTGTAAAAGACATCAAAAAGTGCAGTTTGCATGATGGGTCCCCTTTAAGTTTGTGTCAAATCCTTCCGTCCTAAATTAGGCTGCACAATTAACACACAGTAATTATTTTAGCTAAGATTGTAATATTTAAATCAACAACAAAAAAAGTATGTTCTAAAGTATGCGCTAATCCATTGTCAATGTCCGCATTAATTGTTTAATTTACATTTGCATACATAGAGAAATATACATGTATCATTTAAAAGTATTTTTGACATTATTAGAGAAAAACTAATTATGCTAACCTTACCTTATTTGTGTAAAGTTTAGCAATGTAATATGATATCAGTGAATGGGAAATATGGCTACTACCATTAAGTTGTTGGGGAAATGTTTAAGTAAAAGCCTAGGACATGGTGGTTAGCATATTTACTTTAAAATCTCAAGAACAAACTGTCTCAGTCAGCGCCCTTAAAAGTTAACAAGAGTTGGCACAAGTGCGACTCATGCACCTCACATTTTTCCAGGCGATAAAAGACTGAAATGTTGAAGCACAGTGTGACTGTGGCATCAATCTTTAAAGGAAGAAATTGTGATGGTAGGTCTGTTGGCAAAGCACGCACATAGAGATGACTTTTGAAAAAACACTTCAAACACAGCTTGTGATCTTGAATTCTCGGCAGGAGCATATCATAAGAGAGGAGAGAAGCAACTCGTTTTATATCAAACAGGCGGTCGGTGTGCAGTTCAAATAAAAGAGTTCAAAAGCATCCTTGGCTTCTGATACAGAGGTCGAACTGCATTTATTCACCATCATTACACAACCTGGAATTTATAAATTAAGTGTGTTGGAGGAGGAGATTTTCATTTCATTATTATCAACGACAGTCTCTTGGTCTCCAAAAATAAAGCATTTGAATGAACGTTAATGAAATTGGAGAAATAATAATAATAGAAATAATTATACATCCCTTGGCATAAATACAGTCATTAAATGAAAACGGTTGGGTGTTTCTCAATACATCAGGTTGTTTTTTACAATATAAACAGATTCAAAAGCTCAAGGCTTCATTAACAATAAGTTATAAATTCAACACGGTTTTGGCAAGTATTATAAGTTATTAACTTACAAAACAAACAAGTAATAGCTCTTCTCAAAGTCATAAGTATCCTTTGATAGAAACCATAATTTGACCTGATCATCACACACACATTTTAAACTTGGCTGAAACAAAATAAAATTCAAGTTGTTGCAATTATCACCACGTCTGGTTCAGTCTAAATAAACCCTTCATTCTCCAAGTGAAATGTAATAAGAAACTAGAGTATGCTCTCTACAGAGCCACCAGACTCCAATCACAGAAACAGTCATTTTACCTTATACAACATACTTCCTTCGAACACCACAAAAACAAAGTAGAACTAATCAAAACCACCCTTGATTTTGTTTTACTTCCAATATTACCAACTCCTCTGTTATGTTTAAATTAACTTCTTAACTCACCAAGTGCGCAGGTCTAATGTGAGTTAAGATTAAGAAACTGGAATACCCATTTCTCGCATTAAATACAAAAAAGGTGATCCTTTACTCCTAAACAAGGAACAGGAAATGCATTGTGGATATGCACATGTATCTTTTCAGAATCATGTGAACAAAATACTCAGTCCATGGTTCAATATGAAGGATCCTCTAATTTGGAAAAAGCACTCCCCAACTCTGGATCACTGCATTGTTGAATTCTTCCGATGGGAAACCAAAAGTCATCCTCACTGCCCCGTGTCACTTTTCAGATCTGCTGGTCGTGACACGCCATCAGCGCCTGAGCAGACGAAGCTCGCTGTAATCGCCTGAGCCGTTGCCTCGGTTTCCCAGCTACTCTCCCAGCATCCTCCTCTCCTCATCCACACTGCCCTCTCACCTTCTGTCCTCACTGGACATCAACTGACATGCCATAGTCCGGCCTGCTGGAGAACTGAATCCTGCCATCTGTTTCCTGCTCTTCAAACACAGTGACCTGAAAGGAAGAAAGAAACATACCGGCTGAGTGAAGGACATGAACAGACAGGGGGAGTGGGCGGATGAGCACCAATCTCATTATATGCACGGAAAAGAAAAGTTGTGAAAGACAAGAAGTAGAAACACAATAGAATTAGTGGAAATCGCTTTAGAGTTCAACAACATCAAAGCTATGGGTGATGAATATCTATAGCTTGATACTGTAATGGTGGATGCTTGAGTCGAGGTCAACCAAGATCTGTATCATACTCACAAAAACATGTTCATCTGATATGTTTGTGTATCTTTTGAGAATACCAAAACCTGTGTATATTTGCATTAATTGTGCACCATTTGAAATAGGTAGGAGCGTTAGTCAAGTCCCACCTGTAGGTAATAAATGTCATACAATTTGGGGGGGATTTGCTTATTTTTAAAAACAAAAGTACACACAGAACGAAAAATAGATTTTGTATTGACCAGTCGTTTAACAAGCCACTTATTTGAAACATGCTTAATCATTTGAGTCTGTTGTCAGACCATAGCTAGATCAAGCTGCTCCATGTGATTTTATGATGTTTTCATTCATAACTGTAATTTAAAAAAATGCGGGTCTGTAATATTGGTCAAACTAAACAAGTTTTTTACAGTTTGTAGACAAAACAAGTGACATATTTATTGTGAAATGTTTGTTTATTATTTAACGTCTCCTTGAGGAATATGGCAACAGTCTTTCATGGTGATCCAAACATGTTATGTGCCGACTTTGGCCAAAATGGAATGAGTTTGGTCACACATGTCAGGTCAGGAGATTAAATGTGACCATGCTCTAGCAAAATAGACAACCCAAAATGACTGCTTTACTGCCCACTATACATCACTATAATCAATTGATTTCACATATCCTGTTAAATAACAAACATACTGAAGGCATTCTCTATGATCCTCAGTGTTCCTGTTCAATGCTGTAAGTTGCTAACAATGTTGAGATCAGGTCATTAATGCTAAAACGTCCTAAAGTGATTTTGATAATCGTGTTTCCTGAATGATAAGCACATAAGACAAAAAGGTACAGTACCTGGTTGTTCCCCCTCTGGAGCCAGGGCCCCGGGACATAGAGAGTCTGCTGAGGACCGACGGACCAGTAGCGTCCCAGATTCCTGCCGTTAATAAACACTACACCTTTGCCCCAGCCCTGTGAACACAACCAGTGACCGTCACCATGACAACACGCAGGTTCGGCCAATTAAAAGCTGATGGGGGGAAATAAACATGTAGAGGAGAACCAGAAACCAATGTCACACCTTTCTTTCTAGATCATTTGTATTATTTGCTCAATATATCCTGAGTTCTTATTCATTGTATTTCTTTGCTTCGCTTCTCCAGCCTTTTCACTTTAATTTACAGCAGTGGAAAAACTGTGGGAAAGTTTCCATCTAAAAATAACCAGAGGGATACGCAGTTTAACAGAGGGATAAAGAGGCACTCATTCAATCAATAACTGCATTATGTAGAGCTGCAAGAAAATTAGACCATTAAAAATAACCTCATTTTCCCTAAAGAGCCTTTTAAGATCTCTCTTCACTAATGAAATGATATCATTGTGTCATATGCAATGAATTATAAGTGATCAGTGTCATGATAACGCTTCTGATTGCATTATTCTCTAGGGACAAACAATTAGTATGTTTAATTATAAAGATGCCTGTAAATTAAAGTTACCAAACTACTAGCTGACCGTGTTAAGGATAAGATCAATTATATGACTACATTCACACTACTTCTGAATCAGGGTTCATACACTTTTTCACCAATGCTTCTCAATGACTTCTCCATGACCTTTACCTAATTTTCCATGACCAAAGAAATTACTCTTTCTCAGCGGTACCACTGAAAATGGTTTATTTGAACATGGAACAGGAAAATAAGGTCTGAAACATGTTGTTCCTATCTAAAACAAATCAAATAGGCTTACTAGCTTCTACACGCTAAAGCAACTCAGAGTTAAATGCCATTTTATGTTTCATTACTATACGATACAGTATTTGTTATCATTATAGTATTACTATTTTGGCGATTAGATAAAATATAAATTATATTTGATGCAACTTTAGTTAAATTTCCATGACTTTTCTAAAACTTTGGGAAAAATATTGTCTTCCATAACATTTTTGCAGGGCCTGGAATTAGCATTTTGAATTTCCATAACTTTTCCAGGTTTTTAATGACCTTAAGAACCCTGCTGAATATTTGGTGTCAACATTTCTATCAGTACTACAAAGGACAGATTCACATATTATGTATTATATGTATGTTTGGAAACTTACAGGACAAAAAACGGTCTAAATATCAGCGCAGCACTTCTAAAATTATTTAGCAAAATCTCAATTAGTACAAACAAACCTAAATAAATGTGTACTATACTATAAGGCATTTTTAATATGTGAAATGTCAAGTATAAACAGATTGATTTATGTTCAATATACCAGAAGTAAAACTGACATTCATATCTTAATGTTCATTGTGAATTAGAGGTTGGGTATGATAACCCACACTTTGGTCTATACATTGTAATTATATCCATACAGCCCCGTGCTATTTCGTTTTAGGTTATATATTTTGTGTTCAGCTTTTAAAGATATCCTGAGTAATCCTAATGTCAGTTTCTGTAGTTTTATTGTTGCTGTATTGATTATAGGCCCCATGGTTGTCACATTGTACTCACAGGGAGTTTGATGAAGGTGTCTTTAGGAGAACTGTTCACGTAGAGTTTTGCCTGGAAAAACGCTGGGAAGGAGGGCCGCTGACGCAAAGAAATCCAATGGCCAGTACCCTCAAGTCTGTAAAAGCAGAATACATTCATCACGTCATTTGTATATATACACCTACGGTAAATGTCAAGTAAAACTTTGGAAATGGATATCAGGGGAAATATTCAGAATCACAATCTTTGCGAGCTATAGGTTATATTTTGCCTCTGAGTAAATCCAAAAGGTCTCCATGATGGAAGAAGAAATCCTTCCACATTTAGGTTTTTTTTCAGTGTTCACTCAGACAGGGCTTCAGGCATTGACATTTTCAGGGTGGAAGGATTGAACCCAAACGGATTTGAAAATAAATCATATGATCATAGTCTACTAAGTATATACAAATATAAATCTTGAAATAAACTAGGTAAACTCATCCAAGCCCATATTCTTTAAGGAGGTTACATTGGTCATTTGGTTTGTTAGTTTATTCAACATAAGAATTCAAAATGTCCCAAAGATATTGTGATTAAGAAGGGCTCTGGCCGATGGTCGACTTAAATCTGGTGTTGATGACGCTAATGTTGCATGTGATTAGCAATAAAGGGAGGCACCATCTAATATGGAAACACCATGAGGGAAATGCATTTTGGGTGCAATGAGCCCTGCCAAAATGACCCTATAATGATTGGCAGAAACGACCTGACCTAATGACAATTATGGGATGGGTGCCACATTAAAGTTCCCCCACTCAGACCGTTTCACTTTCTGTCATTGCACAGCAGTCTTGTTATTGTGCTTGTTAAATGGTGCATGTTGCATTTATCAAGTGAAATCCTTTTATGTACAGTATATATAGCACATCAAAGCAAAAGGGGTTGAAATACTTCTTAAGTCAAGGCAGAAGGTTAGGATTGGACTCAAAACAGGTATACATACTTTAATTAAATACATTATTCCAGTGAAAAGCAATATTACATAATGCAATACAATGAGACAATGAAAAGAACAGAGAGTGTGTGCACTGTCGAGGTTTCAATGAACAGTTACATTAACATGCAGTCTTGGTGTTGACAAAATAATCTTGTCAGTTCTTAATATATTCTCATATTTAATAATTATCCTATTAAAAGTGTATCCAGTCCCATTATTATTTGTTGTTGCAGTATTTATTTGAGTAATACTGTAATGAGTTTTGCTTCAATTAAGCTGTCAGACACATGCTGCTGACGGAAATTCAATTTGCAATGTTTTTGTACCTCATGCTTTCAAAGTGTTTTTATTTTTGTATCACCCTGGAGTTTTAGGATATATTGTTTGGATTCTGATAGTGTGTTTAACAAACCCCCTGTGTTTTTAATAAATTAAGATTTGATGTATTCTCAAGCACTGAAAACAGTCCAGATCCAGGGTATTCTGCCTAGTGTACTTATTTTATAATTCACATCAGACTCGGGTTTGAACAGATGTGTTTTGATGTATTATCTTTGCCATCATGTTCCCACGGTAACTATGTTAAACAGGGAGATCATTTGCTGATTTGACAGAAAGAGATGGGGAAATAATTGAAAGAAACAAACCTGTTTACAAAGCCAGGCTTCATATCCAGACTATGGATAACAAAGTCACGGAGGGGGTTCTTGTTCAACTCGATATCTCCAACAAGACCTGAAAGGAGAGTCAAAACAGGTGAATCCGTCTTTCTTCACTCTTAATTCGTTTTCTTTCAAGGTTACTGATAAAGAGATCATTTGGCCAGATTTGAGCCGTTTATGCATCAACTTTTACCTTTGCGCTGCTCATCCAGGGTTTTCCCATAATTCACTCTTCCACAGTTCTCCACGAGTAAACTTAGAGTTCTTTTTCCCTTAAGTGGAAAACATAAAACAAATACTGAAATACAGCAGTATTCAAAAAATACAGGAAGCAAACATTTCTTTCAGCTCTGGCTTTAGTTATTGATGAAGTCCAATCTGAGTCAGCACTCTTTCTGTAAGGTTGAAGTTGACAAATCAAGTTTGTCAGGATAAACAGTCTGCTGGTTGCCTATCCCGAGGACCTTGCTGTCAGAAAACATCAATCAGCAACCCCTGAAGCTTTCACATGCTGTTAAATATTAACAACTTTATGCTTTTAGGAAATACACACACACACACACACACACACACATAAAGTACCTTTCCGTAAGGGACTGCAAGTTCTTGCGTTTTATAATCCAGAACACCAACGAAATGTTTGTCCACATAAACCTAGGAAGAAACAAAATAAAAAGTTTTCATGTTTAAATACGCCATGTTAAACCTCCTGGTCAAGGTGTATGACCTGTATATTAACACACACACACACACACACACACACACACACACACACACACACACACACACACACACACACACACACACACACACACACACACACACAGATGTCCCGCCCCCTCTTTTATATATGTATTTATCTTTTCAATGTTTTTAGATAGTTTTTCTACTTTTTTATAGAATTTTTTTGTATTATTTTCTTTCATGTTTTCCTTCTATATATTGACTCTGTAGATACAGCTAAATGGAAATGGAAACATTTAGAAATCTGTTGACTAAAATGTGAATCTGTTTGGATAATGAAACTGACACTGAAATACGTTTAAAAAAAAACAAAAAACATGTTAGACGACATTTGTCTGTCACAGACTTTCTGGACACCAATTTCTAAGAACTCCAGGCTCCTGTTTGACTTTAACACCAGAGCAACTGGTATCAGCCTGCGCTTGTTAATTGTTCTCAACAAGTACACAGATCAGAGGTGTGATTTCCAACAGATTACAGCCTTCTACATGCAAAAGTTCTCACAAAAGAGAAGTGTAATTGTGTGATTTGGGTGCATAACGTGGACGTCTGCCTTCCTTTCTTTACCAGGGCTCTGTCTCTGATGTTGTTCTTGGAGTTGAGGGTCCCTTCGCTGCTGATGGTGGTCTCGTACAGCGTGTAGCCGTAAGACTGGCCGTTGTTGTTGTTGACAGGGAGGTTCTCCATGCTCACCGGCCTCTCTGACTTAAAGGCCTACAAATAAAGACAATGTTTGATACCTTTAAACCAGATGTTGACACCAACAGGAACAGAAACATGTATTCTCTCCTCTTCCAGTCTCTCTTCCCCGCCCCCAACCCCCCCCTTTGTTTTCTAAATCAATGCTAAAGACTTTTCTCTTTGTCGCTGCTTCCTTCTATGAAATACAGTATCTCTTCATATCTTATATTAATTTGTATCTTACATATTTATCTTTCTTATCGTATTCTATAACTTATTATTTTAAGCTTGTTTTATATGTATTCGCTTGGAGTTTTAATGATTGACAGATTGAGTATTTAAATATAATTCGGAGAGGTATTTCTGTTGCACTTTATCCTAAAGCGTGTTATGCTTTTTAAAAGAATTGTATCATATTGAAATATTATATATAAAAAAAAAACCTGCCTTCCTCTTTCTATAATTATATTTTTTGAATTATTATTTCATTATTATGTATACTTAGGTTTGTTATAAATCCTTTTTGAGCTGAAAGCACTATTGGATCCACTGTGATAAATAATAATAAAAGCAATGAAAAAGATGTTGAAATGTGCCACATTCATAAAGAGGTTTATTCAAAATGTTTCCATGAAGTTTGCTGTAATTAAAGTGAACACACACAATCTCGTAAACCGCTCTCGGCGCAGATGGGGTCTTATGATTCGCGCCACACAATTCTCCCACTTGCAAGATGGCTTTGCCCAAAGTGATGATTTATCAAACCCTAATGAAGCTTTGCTGTCTGCCGTTCAAAGCCATTCTTTTTTGCATACCCTAGGGAGCTGCATTATGCAAGACAATAAACACTCGCCGCTATGAAACGATTAACCACGTACCTCCGAACACACAGACACACCATCAGGCTCAAGGCATCCCACTCAGTCTCTCTGAAGCCTCTTAAGAGAAATCGCTCTTTTTAAAACGAGGGTTTGTCAGGGGCAGAGAAACTGTCGTCTCATAGGGAAGCAAATTATTGTGACGGGGAGTGAATGAATAATGAATGTTGAATGCCAGACGTGGCACATCTGGTTTGAATATAAATGCCCTTCAACAGCATGATGTGAACTCGACTATTGGACATGAAAGCGAACAGACATGATGACACCCTCCGAATGAGTTCTGATGGCAAAGGGAGATTATCTGCTGTGTTACATTTTGCGAAACAACTTGTGTTACAGTCATAAAGCTTCACACTGTCGGTTAGTGCTGGTCCCTGAGCAAGACCATATTTCAGCTGTGCTTTGCTCAGGGGCTCCTCATCAGCAGTCCTTCATTAATGTGTGTGTAGTAGTGTGTGTGCTGGTGTGGGATGATGGCTGCAAGCTAATTTATCTCGCTGTAATTACCACAGCCACGTCTGCAACTGACTTTTCAGGGCTTCAAATTAGATTTTTACATTTTATTATCAATATAGAAATATTCTGTATAATTATTCTGTAGGATGTATTAAAGGAATATATGCTGCTGTTAATCTTATGATTTCTTATCCTTTGATTGAAAACATTGCATCCTAAAAGATACAGAGGATGCGGTTAGGTTACTTCACATATAATAATGTCCAAATGTAATTAAAGATTAATAAGAAACCCACTCAATTAATTAGAGAATTGTGAGTAATTACTGGAATCTGCAGAAAAAAAACTATGCAAATTCTGCACCTAATAGGCTGATGTGATCATTTTGGAAACAGTAAAGTAAATACAACTATCCTCTATATATAATATAGAAAGTGGTAATTCACCAAACAGCCTGGAATACTTTTATTCAAAATACAAAAGTCAATTGCATTCCATAACCTGTCATCATAAATAACAGCATATTCTCTTTGAGTTTATTTGATTGGCTTTTGTGTGTGACTTATGCCATTAAATATTTCATGTATTACTGTTGTCTGTCAACAACCTCCTGACTCTGTTTCGAGCAATGCCACACGGGCGATGTTTATTATTTCGGTGCCTCCTGTGTTGGCACTCTCTGAGCGTCAGCAGCTTACCTTGTCAGAGAATTGCAGACTGACCCACAGAGACAGGTGCTGCTGGACGGAAACAGGCTGGTACGCTCTCCTGTCCTGATGAGGAGGTAGCACGGTGAGAGGCTGGGCTGAACAACAAGGAGGGGGAAAATGCAGTCAGATTTTATGTAAATGAATTGATTTGCATTTCCTTTATCCTTTATTTACCCGTGGGATGAAAACAAGTCCAAATTAAGGGGGTTTTGAAATTGATGCATACATTGCCCACATTCAGTCAGATGGATAATTCTGTTTTCTCTCTTTAAACTGGCTATGGTAAAATCCTTTGCATATGTATAAGATAAGCACCTGAGAGAAAGAAAGAAGGACACAGATGAAGGTCGTTTGGTATATTTCAATAATAGTAAGCCATATTAAGTCAAGATGGAAACTATAATGAACCTTCTGGTATACCTGGTACTAAGAAATTGGATATTTTATTAACTTTGTAAAGTATAACCAGCAAAACAATTTGCTAGAAAAACCCAAGCCGCTATACACTGTAATACCTTTTTCTGGGCTATTGAAGCCCTGCAGACATTCCCAATCTGCATTTTTTTACTACCAAACATAAAAGTGACCACACCCTTGAAAGCTGCTTCTAAGGCCCCAGAGCCACACGAGGACGATAACGGTCATATCCGCTACAGTTCTCTATCAGATAGAAGGTTCGGCCATTCGAGGCCGACATGGAAACGCATAAAACGATAACGATAACGGGTCCCAAGGTTGGTAGATCTGCGAACGAAACGCTCTGGGGGGGCAAACGGCTCCGTGTTTACGCCTATACGATCATTTCCTGATAACGCTGAAGCAATAGCCCCGCCTCTCCCCACCTCTCCTGCTCAGAGATCAGCTGCTGGGCTGTCAGAAGAGGGGGAGGAAAAAGAGAGGCTCCGTTTTGTATTATTATATAGAGTCGTTATCAATTAGTTTTAAAGCTCAATAAATAACAAAGAAGACCTCTGATCGGCACTTTTCAAATTCTGTTCGGGAAGATTTAAACTTTAACGGACATGTTGACCGGCAAAAATAAAATCGAACTGAAACTCTGCCACACGGTTCACTCGTCCCTTGGAAGAGGCGGAGAGGTGGGTGTTTTTCATCTGCTGGTGGACTACCGGAGAGATTTACAGCAGGAGCAAACGCTTGCCTCGGGGAGGGAGAAAAAGAGCCAGGGCGTCCACAGCCGAGAATAAACAGAAGGGCAACCATGGCAACCATGCGCGGGAAGTCTTCTTCGCTGCTTTTGTGGCAGAGTACAGCGCCACTTACAGGCCCGGCATATGTACTACAGCGTCTCCAGCGCTTTCGAGCGGTCTCGTGTGAACGGACACGTTTCTGGTGCCTGTTGCGTGTGGACGGAAGACTTTTTTTATATCGATTTCGGTCCGTTTGCGTTATCGTCCTTGTGTGGCTCCAGCCTAGAACTCCTTGGGTGAGCCATTAGCTCTCCACAGTAGCATTTAGTTTGTGCTTCGTGTTGCAAAACAGTATCCATACAACAATTAACAGCGGTCGCCCGTCACTCTCACTGCTTTTAAAGGTGTTAAAGCATTCAGACACCAGCAGTCCCCCCGGAATTGGCTCGACAGCATGTTCTTATCGTCAAGTGCTAACAGCTGGATCACTTAAGGATAGCTTTGAGGAAAACAGCCAACACCTTTCTCCTAAATGGATCTCTACAACACATTCAATCCAGTGCCTTGGTGGTTTATATAATGGGTCAAATCTAAGAGGTGTAGAGTGTGTGTGAATATTTCCATTAAACTAGGTTACATATTTGGATTCTTACCCAAGACAATGCCGGTACCACTTAGATACGTGTTGGAAATGTCCAGCCTCTTTCACAAGTGTTAGTGATGTCTCTTTGTTACGGAGTAAAATAAGGAGACAAATCGAGGTGATTCAGGGCGGGGGGATTGGAGAGAAACTCCCTCTGGAGGGAATTTGGGGATTTTAGATTACATTACATGTCACTTGTTAGACACTTTTATCCAAAGTGACTTACATACTCAATACTGTGGGCAATCCCCACAGGAGCAATTTGGGGTGAAGTTTCTTCCCCAGGGACACAATGACATGCTGACTGCAGTGGGGTTTGAACCTCAAAAACCTATATTACACCCGAAAGGAAAGGGGATACCCCCAAAAGCACAATATGGCCTCTTTGAGTCTGTAAAATATGATTTGTAAACCGGGAAATACAGTATATGCAGCTCTGCAATTCTTCACTCAAAATAGTATTTTCACACATACTTAGCCTTTAGCGAGTATTGGGTTTGTTGAATATTTAAATGGTACAGCCCTACCTGGTACCATCAATACTGAACTTGCATACTGCAGATGTAGTGCAGATGTATTTGTACCCTTTTTTAGATGATGGCTGATTTGTGTAGCTTTTGACAGCTTTGTAATAATAAAATAAACCCCAAAGCATATATGTCACCTGTCTATCATAAGAGCAATATTGTTGTTCAAGGTTGTGTTTGACGATAGATCCGTCTGAAACCATGTGAAAACAAAACCACTCGGACGGACACAATGTACACGGTTTTACAAACAAATAAGCACAACATATCAAAATATTCTAATGAATCATTAATAGGGTCATGTGCTTGTAGTTTCTGCGAAGAACAAAAAGCCTTCTCTGACTCTCGTATTCAGGCTGCTACTCATTGTTTTGCAGAGAACAAAGCATAAGGATGCATCGCGCGCAGGCAGCATTTCACACCATCTTCAATCACAACAACTCTGTGCAAATTATTGCTTTGTTGTGCCGGATTCAATCACACATTGCCAAAAGCTAAATGTTCAGACCTGCCACAAAACACTTGAGAGTTCTGCCTCCAACCACAAACCCTTGTTTAACAGGAAGAGAAAACGTAATAAGCAACACGATACAAGGCCTAGCATGTCATTTTCACATTGGGCAGTAATTGAGGGTCTTGGACTTGGTCTCACACACATGCACAAGCACACATAAAAACCCATATCTAATCCGTGCTTGTAATCATATGCAAAGTTATCCTACTTTAGCCAACAGAGAGCAGGTACTACAAGGAGAATTAACTTAAGTGGGGAGATGAAAGGGAAGGGAGAGAAGAGAGACAGGAGATGTGGGGCCCGACTCAACAACAACACACGACACTCACCGTGGTACTGGCTGAATACATTCCTCAGAAGATGGTACTTGGTGGTGTAATCCCCCGCCTCGGATAATGGAGCATCGTAATCTGAAAGATAATGTGCTATCAGAACAGCAGGCTGGGAGCCGGAGAGAGGCAGGGATGCCTCTTACCGTGGCAGATGCTTTCACCGTGCTCCCCTATCAAGCATCTTGAGACAGCAGCGGGCCGAGACACATTTTGAGTTATCTTGACAGAAAATGCAGTTTGAGTCAAAAAGGTAAAAGGTATTCAGAGCAGTAAACACAGATTTGACTGGAGGTTGAAGGTGGTCTTCCCTACCGGGGAGACATTCTCAGAAGTCTCCTTTTTTTTAAAGAACGAGGTCATTACAATGTTAAGGACCCTAGAGGAGCATATAAAACCCATTGTACCGTCTTTAATTTACATTTCCCGTGCATTTTATTAGGTAATGAATTCATTAATGTGCACTGCATATTCACATTTCAAGTCAGTCGAAGGTCAGAGGCTCAGGAGTACGGATAGCGCCATCTACAGATTCCAAATATCAAAACCATTTTTTGGTTTTCTTTTCAAATTTCCTTAAGGCAGATTTAATCAGACTGATTTAATCTAATTGTTTGATGATTATGGGCACTCCTGAGTCAATACTTTTTTTTTACAAGCTTTATAGATTGGGTCAGCTTGGCAGAGAATCAGTGGGCTTTTAAAAATAAGGATAAAATAAATCGTGTTTTTTATGTGCCTTTCTTAGGACTGGCTGGATACTAGATTTAAACTATACAATTATCAAGGCCAAACATGAAAAGAATAAGGCTATTATTTAAATGTATCTTTTCCTTTTTGCATTGTGTCTTTTTCTTCAATCTGAAGCCCAGTTATGGATATTGAATTGCCTTTTTTGTGTTGACCTGACCAATCAGTCCTGTATATAATATGTTCTTCTCTTAACTCAAAACCGAATTTCACTTTTTCAAATGTAACAAAAGACTGGTCACAAAGAAAGTCTTCACACATACCATAATTTGTCACCATAGCTTTAGGTGCCGGCATTCCAACGGCAAACGCTCCGCTCATAAAGCCAAAATTTGTCCCACCGTGGAACATGTAGAGGTTGATGGACATGTTCAGTTTAAGGATCTCTGTGACCACAGGTAACATGTCTGTAAACAAAAAGAAAAATGGATGATAAAATTAGATAGTAATTCATAAAATAACATAAACTAAGGTTAGCATTAAGCCCAATGGGTAACGCAACATAAATCAATTTTCAGCTTTAACAAGGAACCGTTTCACTAATCCTATTGCCCCTCAATTCCACTTCAATTGAAATACGGATAGACCTCATGCACATATCCTACTACAGGTACCTATAATTCATTAGGGGGCAATGCTCACACCCATTAAAAATTGCATAGCTCTCCGCACAAATTACGAATATTTTGCAGAGAACATAGCAGAGCGAGTAATTAGGTATTCAAATTGGACGAGAGCAGTCAAATTGGACTGACTTTAATGATTTGAATCAAGGGCATGAGCCTTAGTGAATAACAATTGAGCGGGCTGAGTGACAAAAGCCGGACCCGGTCGTTTTTTACTATGGTGGCACTAGCTGTGACCAACATGTGTGTTGCAGCCTGCAGAGCACTGAGATGTCAAGGACATGAATCCCCTCTGAATATCCCAGCGTTCATTTCATAGCTGTGACTCTTTCTGCACGGCCAGGGTTCTTTTTTATCCCGTTCCCTATCTCGAGAGAAGGAAAATGCATAAGGAAGCTTTTCATTTTCAGAGCATCTTTTGTTAAGATGTGGATGGCTGCTGGGAATGACACAGTAAAAGGAAGCCTGAGGCTCTGTGCGTTTGAAATGAGAGGTTTACTAGGAGCACTCAAAAGTAGCTGTAGCAGGGTATGTTGATCCATTAATGTTTACAATTGTGTTTTTATGTGTGTGATGACTGTATATTGTACTAAAAATGATATCACCCTTCTGGCCACAGCTTCTGGACCATGATATCTGGTATGTGTGGGATGCTTTAGAGCGCAAACTGTACGAGTTAGCCGCTGGTCGTTGATGTTATTATTGCACCAACAATTTGTATACGTTTAGGGCATTCAGACCATATTATAGGTTTATTCTGAAATATGGTTTATTTCTTTGTTTATTCTACTGCAGTGACACATCCTAACAACAACATATTTCTTGTTTCACTCCAAAACAAAACTATTTTCAACGCAATACTAATTATATATTTAATTTGTTTTAAGAAAATACGGTTTGTATGACCTCGGAAAGTATTTTTAAGATTGGATACCAAGTACACATTGATGCATCAGTTACTGTCCAATAATATAATACAGGCCTTTGGTTCCTTTACTTTTAATACATAGTGAATTTTGCTGAACATACTTCTGTAATTTTACAAGCATTGGTCTTTATCCTTATTCCATTGCAAGAGTATGACATGATACACAGCCCTGCCTATGGTTTGATTTTTCATGTTTTTCCACAGTTAGTGCAATAAGGCACCAATAAATGCAGAAGCAGACTGAGAAGTAATTATGACTATAAACACGTAGGTTTTAAAAAACTTTTTTTATGAGGAAAGAACACCATATTAAGGCCACAAGGATACACACAATCTATTTTGGTTAGTAACCGTGGACGTAGGCTAAATGTAACGTTGTCCTAAGTCTCACATATATTTTGTCATATCTTATGTCCAGGTGCGGTTATTTAAATTGTGCAGCACATACTGTATATAGCCTGTGACTCAGAAAAACAGTGCAACATATAATTCATAGGAAAGTACTCAACATTATGCTCCTGCCAACTGAAACTTAATTTAATGCAGCCACAAGCAAAACAATTCTAGTGTGTATCTGCATGTGCTACAGCCTGTGTGTATACAGAGGAAGTGGGGAAGATGAATGTGACTCCTACAAAGTGTAACACCTCCACCTGTCCTCGGTACAGTCAGTGAGAGTCGGCGGAGCACATCTTTGAACAATCCTGCACAAAGAAGCGTTTGAAAAAAAAATGGCCTCTGAACATCAAACATATGGCCAAGAGACAAAGTGGAGAGGGTTGGACACAGACTCTGGTTTGTGATACTTGGCTCAAAACGTACCATGCATGAAAAGTATACACGGTAAATCTGACAAAACCAGAAAGGAATGACCATATGCTAGGAGGTACATCCCAGCTGTTGTTCCCATTGCATTTATATACCAGTGTTCATCAAATGAAGAGAAATATCCAGCTCTCGGAAGAACTGTTTGTATAATACACTAACTAAATTACTTAGAGCTCTACGTGTCTAACTGGCTATAATGGGTGCATACCACCACACAACAGGATGGCTATTCTTCTTGAGATGATGCATCAGGTACACTTGATTAGATTTTTTTCATAACCCTAGGCATGTTACTCATCATAATCTATTTCTTATTTCTTAAGGCAATATGCAACCCAGCTGTATTTGTTGGTATGATCAATTGCATTTAGACTAAAAAACCCTCCAGAGTTTGAGTTAGGGCATATTGGTATTAAATCGATATTGTGATACGAGATTAGATATCCTTTTGAATTTGAACATTGTAAGTAATGTCTTTTGCAAGTTTGAAAGGCTTCATTACCGCAAAGTGATTCCCTTTTTTGAATTTGTAGCTTTTCTCTTATTTGCCTTTACACACTTGGTCAATAAACCCATATTACTGATGATAAATGATCAACATTCTAATGATGTACATTTTGGTGATGCAGTCAACACAATATTGTCACAATATTGAAATCAAACATATTTGCTCAAAACAAGTTATATTTGATTCTCCATATCATTTAGCCTTATTTTGAGTAGAGGCAAGTAGAGAACCACCTCATTCAGGGATCTACTTGTAAGTGCAATTGCTGTGTTGATATATTCCAGATCAACAGGTCCAAATGAGCTAAGTGAGAACAAACACCCGCACTCAGTCTGGAGGATTTACTAACCCTCCCTTTACAGTCAGTGAGCTTGTCCACACCCTCTTTCCCACTGTTCAATTTGCAGAGAAAAAAGTTTGTCTTAAGCCAGGGGTGCCCACACTTTTTCAGCTTGGGACCTACTTTTAAAATGACCAAGCCCAAATGATCTAACTACAGGGCCGAACCTGCCCAATCTGTGTCGTTAACTGCATGAACCCGTATGGCACAATACAACTCAGCCTGGCTTACCTGTACGTCAATCAAGTGGCAAATGCCATAGTAAGGATTCCTTACTATGGCATTTGCCACTTGATTGACGTACAGGTAAGCCAGGCTGAGTTGTATTGTGCCATACGGGTTCATGCAGTTAACGACACAGATTGGGCNCATGTAAAAAACCTACATAGTCTTAAATCATTGGCATAATTTGCGCTGGACACTGGGGGCATGTCCCCATCACTTTTTGAAATGTCTTCTGCTATGCTGTTGAATCTGGATAAAATGTTCTGCGTTTTTTTTCGGTTGCATAAATGTGCGACGGTCCCTAAAGTAAAATACAGTTTGCCGCTTGTCTGTACTTTTGGAAGACATTAATCTGATATACAATATTGGTCACACACTCATAGACTGCAACTAGTTACATTAGAGTCCATAACAGTAAACCAAGTGAACATTTTAATTGACCACGTTTCGTTTTTTTTTACTTTGAATCCCGGAAGTAATCTAACGTTACGACCCAGCGTTATGTGAATATGGGGTGACTTTATAAACGTTATCACGTCAGGTTTGACAGGTTTTGTGATGCATTGAATAACTCGTCGCCGACCGTTTTGGAAAGTGAAATATATTCACTTTAATTTGCATGAACACAAGCAACGAACAGGGCGCAACTTTTACTGAAGTCGTGTTGTTATTGTTGTCGATGGAAATCTTATCAATGGTTGGGATTCGTCTGTCCCTAAAGCAAAGATATTTTCTCCTGCTGTGTGTTGCTGTCGGAGCGATCCTTGCGTATCGGCTTACAAGGTAAGGAAAACCCTAGCTCTTTACGCATGAGTGAAATCTAACCAGTCGCCAACTTTTCATAACAAGAGAACCATGAGACAAACACTATTTCCTGCTTTAAAGGAACATCAAATGTGAATTTCATGGTTTAAATCCCTACTGCTTGAGGTGTTATGCTTTGTTGTATGAGTGCTATTCAGACATTTGAACTCAGTTATGTTCTTAAGAAACCAACCAGGTTACCTGTGATCTCTCACCTGCTGACCTGTGGACATTGAACCTCACGCAACAGGTTGTCTGTCACTGTTACTTAAATTAACCCTTATTTTAGAAATTCGGATCAAAATTATATATAAATCTCAATGCAATTTGTTTTACTTATCTTAATAAGACTTCAGTTTTTATTCTTGATATATGTTTATTATTTATAACCTCTGTATGCTGTTATTTATAGCAACACTTATGGTGTAGTATTTGTACACTTTCTAATTTATATAGTATTAGTATATATATGCACTTCTGGTTGAATGCTAACTGCATTGTATTGGCTTATACCTCTGCACAGTAAAAATCTAATCTAATATAATCTAATCTAATCCAATATCATCTAATTTCATCTAATATGATCATGTGATAGTTGTTTTATTATGAAGAATCATGTAGATAAATGGAACCTCTTTGTAATATGAAAAAGCTATTAGCTTTACAGTACACAGGCTAGTGTATTAATATGTCTCAAATGTCTTCATGGCCAGTTCAACAAGTTGTCTGTCAGTTGTAAACTGCATTTTGCCCCCTAGGAATCGACCTGAGGTAGTAAGAATGAAGCGTGCGGAGGGTCTGAGGGCCAACTCGTCTCAGTTCACTCTGGAGAGAAAACCCTTCCACATCCTGGGGGGCTCCATCCATTACTTCCGTGTTCCCAGAGCCTACTGGGAGGACCGGCTGCTGAAGATGAAGGCCTGTGGCCTCAATACTCTGACAACGTAGGCTCCCACTCACTGCTGGAGGAATACACTCTGCTTTACACAACATACTATGTCAGATAGATGTGTAGATGGTATTTCAGAATGAAATAAACAAAAGATACATACAAAAACTGAAAAATAATATTGATGTAGACGTAAAAGGTTGTAGTAAGAATGCGTATAAAATAAATATATTCATATAAACATAAGGAGTTAAAATACAATCTCCAATAAAACATTAAAGAAAAAAAGAAAAACGTTTATACAAACATAAGAATATAAATAAAAAATGTGCACATTGTACTGCGATATATAACATGTATATTACTTTTAGGTAAAGCAGAGCAAACACCATTCTTAAGAAAACAGAAGGACATGGTAGCCTTTGGAGACAAACCAAAGGCACACTTGAAATACTTAAAACACAATAATAAAGAAAATACATTTGTGTTTTTAGGTATGTGCCATGGAATATGCACGAGCCTGAGCGAGGGGTGTTCAACTTTGAGGATCAGTTGGATTTGGAGTAAGAACAAATGAAGGGAAGACTTCTGAGGCTCTGCTAAACTCCTGCAGAGGGCACTGTTGCATTACAGGATTGTTCACAGTCTTACAGTAAATAATGTAATACTGTTAAAATGATGTACGTTTCCCCATAAAAAAAACGTGTGTGATTAATTAGCCATAATCACTATCTGGGCTTCTTGATATATTGTCAAGATGGGGATGATCAATCGAATTGGCTGCCTGCTGTCAAGAAGCAGGTGTTACCTTAAATACAGAAACATATTATATTCTGTAAAAATGAAGAAAATTAATTGAGTGAAATATTTTAGAATGAATTAAAATTAAACATCTGCTTTAGTGAGCATAACTAAGCCATACTGTGTTCATGCTGTTGTAAATATTTGAATGAATTGTATTGATGATAAATAGATACAAATATTGTTTTTCTTTCCCTTAGAGCTTACCTCCGTCTTGCAGCCAGCTTGGGCCTCTGGGTGATTCTGCGTCCAGGGCCGTACATCTGTGCAGAGTGGGATTTAGGTGGCCTACCCAGGTAAACATCCCAATTAAATGTAACCTGTGCAGATCTTTTGAATATGCCTTACAGCCATATCAACATTGTAAAGCATTATTTTAGAACAGCAACTGGGTTGTTAAATTAATTCCTTAAATTGGCTTAAAAATAATTTGTTCAGTCAGTTAAGCTGTTTGTTAGCGGTATCTTTGCTTCGGGCTAAATCCATTAAACTCTTGGAAATAATTAAGTAATGTGAATGATTTCAAGTCTGCCGTCTCTGTCATGTTTTTTTGCCAGTTTCTTCAGCTACGTATTGCAAAACATGGACATGCCTTAGTAGGATTGATCCACCTCAGTGCTCTACATACGGTTTATGATGCAAAGACAACAGGGTTTTACATATAGTGTAAGTGAGGACATTATGAATCATCCAAGTAACCTCTAATGTTACTCAGATGATTGTCACAAAGGATTTTCCATACTTATAGTGAGATTTTAAGGAGAACATAAATGTAATCTGACAGGCAAAGCTCCTTAAAAAACGATGATGAATTCATTTATTTCTGTAATCATCATAGATTTGAACAGATAACGGGGTGAATGCTGGAGTTAAAAAGCCTGGAAGAAGGTATTTTTGGAGCAGTTTAGCCTTGGGGGACTATGAGGTTTAGGTGATATTTATTTGATGATCATCAAAACAGAGTGTTTCTAGGGGCATGCAGTGAAGCATGACTTCCTCTGCACTGCACTTTGTGATAGTCATGCTTAGGTTAGTGTAACTATCTTCGAGAGCTAAAAAACTATCGCCTCTTGGGTGATACTGTATGTTGCTTTTTGGACTTTTCAAATCATTTCTTTTGATTTCTTTTCAGTTGGCTACTACGAGATAAAAACATGAAACTGAGAACAACCTACCCAGGATTCACTGATGCCGTTAACTCCTTCTTTAATCATCTCATTGAGAAAGTTGTTCCACATCAGGTACGTTATATATTAGCACAATAGAAATGTAATGAAATAATTTGACTGATGTATACACTACAATGTTTGAGAAGAAAATGTATACAAGACCAAATGAGCCCAATTATCCTTTTTGGGGTTTACCCTTTCCTGTAGTGTGTTGAATAGGTTTCTGTGTATGTAAATTGTCTGCAAAGGCTAAACAAAACACATTATATGCCATACATCTCTAAGGTTGACCAATCACAACAGAGCCCACCAGCTAACCAATCAGAGCAGACTGGGCTCTGGTTTCAGACAGAGGGTGAAGAGAGGCAGGCAGTATGAGAAAAATAAAGGCTTTTTGAACATTAAAGCATGTCACAGTAGAGGCACAAAATACAAATATGAACCTGAAAATAAGTAGTATACTGTAGGACCTTTTAATGGAAATATGACACAAACAAATATGAAATATATAAAATATGTTTTTTTTTAATATATTCAAACATGCATACAAATGCCTGCCCATTTTTTCATGATGGAATACTTGCTTTCATAATGTTATTCCTGCATACTATGCACGTTACCATGTATACAAGCAATATATTTACCATATGAACCTAAATAAACTCATGGCATCCAGGGCACATTTTCTATTCATCCATGCACCATTGGATTAGCTCTGATTTCCTTCTCAGTGTTTTTCATCAAATTCAGCTGTACTGAGTGTAGAAATGGTGAGAACTGGTGCCAGGCTCTAATATGTGTCCCATTCATTGGCTAATTATTCCGCAGTACTCCAAGGGTGGCCCAATTATCGCAGTTCAAGTTGAGAATGAGTATGGCTCCTATGCCAAGGATGACAAATACATGCCTTTCATCAAGGAGGTAAGAAACTAAACTGTGTATTATTTGAATAATTTGTGGTCGCTCTTAGAAGAGAGTACACTTTGTATCCGCTGCTGTCCTTAACTCACTCTTATTTTCGCTCAATTTGAAAAGAGAAATCAATGATATTTCAGAAAGAACCTTTCGTTTTCTCTTGTTGCCTCCAATACTTCTCTTTTTTCCCAGTCGTTGTTGTCAAGAGGCATCTCAGAGCTGCTGCTGACCTCAGACAACAAGGAAGGACTAAAGCTTGGAGGAGTGAAAGGAGGTATTGTTAGATGGGCTGACAGACAAACAAGGCTGCATCTACATTACACACACCCAAATAGACACACATATACAGTAGGTTGGTTGGTGAGTTTGTTTTCACACAACGACAAGAGGTCTGAGGCGAAGGGTGGCTTGTGTCAGGCAACTGCAGCTCAGAACTACTCACAAAGGATCCTGTGTAATACCACAAAGCTAACCCTTACACAAAGCAAAAACAGAGATATTGAAATATAAAAGTATTTTCTTTGACACATGCTGTTTTATTGTTGGCAAAAATGGTCATAATAAGCTTTTTTGTCACTGAGATAATAGTATTTTTGTTTTATTATGAGAGCAAATCATGCATTATTCCCATCCTTATAATTACAGGATATAATCCTCCAGAGTATTGTTATAATAAACCCCCCTGATATTTGTTTTAAATATATATTTTCTAATCATGATTTCCATGCTGTGGATGAACACTTAAATGTGATGCCTCGTTGCCTGTCTCCTAATGCAGCCGCTTACGTTAGACAGATTTAATGCTTATTAACTTTTTGATTTGAGGAGCATTGTGCTTTATATTGAAGTTTAAGATACTATGGGGAACTGCTAATACTTTTTTAAAGACAAGAACATAATCATGCAAGGGTTTAAGTACAACTCAAAACAATATTCATTCCATAGATCTCTTTTCTAAAGCATGGTCTGTATTAGTTTGAACTGATTCTATGCCGATTTGTGTTAACAATGTTCTACCTTTTTGGCTCTGAAGCACTAGAAACCATCAATTTCCAGAAGTTTAACCCAAAGGACATCAAGTATCTGGATGAGATACAAGTGAGTCTTTTTTACGTTTTGGTTTCATTCTTCATTTTGTTGTTATCCGTGGTCTTGGAGTCTGTCATTACTTCTCTTTTTATCGAAGTGAACATCAAGCTAAAAACTAATTTTTGCTTTTCCCAAATTAGACTGTCCATGTTAATCCCAGGGAACGTTTGAGGTTACTTACCCACCTTAAAAGAAAAAGTTAGAGACCTGAAAGAAGATCATTAATCTTTTAGACAATTAATTCAGGGTTTCACACAAATGGAATAAGGTACTAGCTGAAAGGTCATTCAGACGTATCTTTTAGTTAATGGACAACTCTTTCTCCCATCAGCCTCACAAGCCGAAGATGGTGATGGAGTACTGGTCTGGCTGGTTCGATCTTTGGGGGGACCTTCATCATGTCTACCCAGCTGAGGGTAAGACAGACTCAGAATGGGTAGCCAGGTTTTCATTGAGAGAGAGCTTTAGGACTCCTGACAAGACAAAGAAAGGTGTTCATGTGAAAGCCAGACAGGATTTCTGCTGATGGATTCTCTGAGGGTGAAACCGTTTCTTTCTGAACAGAAGGTCGATACAATCGGCTAATTTGAGACAGAGAAAGAAAGGTTTTTCGTTGCGAGCCGATACAGGAGCTGTGAAAGTAGAACAGACTGTCTTGAGGGGGAAGACAGAGTCTCAGGACCTTTAGGGTAAGAAAGGCTTAAGACAGGGGCGCCCAATACGTCGATCGCGATTGACCGGTCGATCGCAAGGGTAGTGTGGGTAGAAGAAAAAAAAAAAACATTTAATTAAATTACATTTGTGTTAAAGTTAGCCTATCATCCATCCTTACTATGGCATTTGCCACTTGATTGACGTACAGGTAAGCCAGGCTGAGTTGTATTGTGCCATACAGGTTCATGCAGTTATGAGGGCGCCTCACCTCCTCATCTGAAGCGCAAATGCGGCGCACTATTATACGCTTATGCGGCGCAATTAGTGTAAGCGTGCCACAGTTTATCCGCCGTTTAGTCCACTAGCACCCCTTCCCCCCGCTCGCGACACAGACTNATAAATTAATATGAAAAGTTGACAATAAAACAGAACACACATATTGCACCGTGCTGCTGCACAGCGGGAGCAATGCTCTTTTTTACATGTTCTATTAAAGTTTACTAACATGTCCAAATTGCACATCTTGACACTAAACCAGTGTTCTTGTTTATTACCTTTCTTTCTGCACGCTATTTTTGAGAACATTTATAAGCCATACTTTAAAAAGTGGTGGGGACAAAATTGGCCATTTCAAAAAGTGATGGGGACATGCCCCCAGTGTCCAGCGCAAATTATGCCAATGATTTAAGACTATGTAGGTTTTTTACATGTCTAACTTGAAAGGGAATATTGTAATTAGATACTTTTAATATTCTCTTTCAGTTCTTTTTGTATTAACTGTCTACTTGATTGGGTGAAAATAAAGTATACAATCTGCCCCAGTCTCATTCTGTTCCCAAATGCTTTCTTATAAGGGGTAGGTTAAATATAGTCTGTTCCTGTTTTCATCGTTTTAATCAGTTAATTCCTACTCTTTACACTTCACTTAAAAATCCTCACATCCATATTTGATGTCTTCTTTCGACTAGCCATCCCATACTCCCTGGTGTACAATGTTTAATATTGTTTCTAAGACATAACAATGTCAGCAAAAGTGACAGATACATAATTTTGAGAGCAGTGAAACAACTGAAACAAAAAGCCGGGATCAAGGCTCTATTCAGTTGTACACAGCAATTCAAAAAAAGCATATCTGTTTAATTCCCTAAGTAGGGCAGATTAAAAAGATAACAAGACTCAGACACAATGCACACACTTGTGCTATTACACACTAACTTGTGACTACAGTTGCACAGAGTACATTTGTTCTTAGACTGTGATTACATACAACCACTGGTGCATCAGTACACTTTTTATGTAAACTATATCATGAGGCCAACATGTTTGTGAACAATGCAAGCTCTTCCTTTTTTTACTGAAAGAGGGAGGGAGAGAGACAAAGCACTGTTATATTTTTTGTTCGGAAACAACAATAGTTTCCCTTATCCGCAGTGTTTCAGGCCTCCCAGCACCATCCTCCCTTCAAATGCTCTCTGCAAGCTCAGCTCCAAGGCACTGCAATGTTTTGATGTCATTGGGATTTTCTGTTATTCTGCATCTGGGACTTACATGTGTTGGTAAGTTTTGAATTTTTTCTGTTCGTATTTCTTTCGTCTTGTCTGTTCATAAAATAAATTACATGTACTTCCTGTGAAGTAGCCTACTGTTTTATTACAGTAACACATTGTATTTTATTATCCAACACATATGACCTCAGTAGATGGGCCTTTTCTATTTTATTTGATCCAATTAATTTTCACCCAATAGAAAACGCCCTGAGGTGCGAAGAATGAGCCGTGTGGAGGGTCTGAGGGCTGATTCCTCTCAGTTCACTCTTGAGGGAGAGCCCTTCTGCATCCTGGGGGGCTCCATCCATTACTTCCGTGTCCCCAGAGCCCATTGGGAGGACCGGCTGCTGAGGATGAAAGCCTGCGGCCTCAATACTCTGACAACGTAGGTTCATTTTGTAACTCGACTATGCCTCATAATAATCTGTCACATTTAATGGAGAATGTGAAATACAGATCAGGTTAAAGTAAATGTGTTTGTATGAAAAGGCCTTCCCTTAAAATGAAATAGAAACATCTTTCATGAGTCACTCAGCATAAGCTACAAAAGAATGTTTCCATGCTTTCTTTTCAGATACGTGCCATGGAATCTGCACGAGCCTGAGAAAGGAACATTCAATTTTCAGGATCAGTTGGACCTCAAGTAAGGCTTTTATGTTAAGTATCTCCCTCTTTGTAGAAAATGCATGTTGAATTTTTATTTTTGAATTAACAGAAGGTGTCCATGTCTTTTTGTAGAGCTTTTATCAATCTAGCTGCAGAGACGGGTCTGTGGGTGATCCTGCGTCCTGGACCTTACATCTGCGCTGAATGGGATTTGGGCGGGTTGCCTAGGTAGCACCATCTGCCCATTGCTTTTAAGTATTGCCCTATACTAGAAGTGTGCCAAGAAGTTGTTTTTGTTTGTTTCTTATAGCTGGTTGTTACAAGATAAAGACATGCAGTTGAGGACAACTTATCCTGGCTTTGTAAATGCTGTTAACCTCTACTTTGACACGCTTGTTGCCGTAATCAAGCCTCTCATGGTAAGTCAAACTCAAGGTTTTGTCAAAATATTTCCCAAAATAACTATTGTAGCTTTCAGTGAGACAAGCATTTATTGTTTTTGCCTAGTTTGAAGAGGGAGGCCCAATCATTGCAGTTCAAGTTGAGAACGAGTATGGATCATATGCCAAAGATGAGAGTTACATGCCATTTGTACAAAATGTGAGTTGTATTGCAATGTTTATTTTTGACTGAAAGCTTTTACATTACATTTTACTGAAGGAATTCCATATCTTTTTCGACAGTGTCTCCAGTCCAGAGGAATCAAGGAGCTCCTGTTGACATCAGACAACTGGGAGGGCCTGAGTTATGAAGGGGTGGAGGGAGGTAATACAAATAACTGACCCTTAAAAAGGGGAGAAATGCATAAAGTGTATTATTTTAGATTTATTTAGATTTAATCATCATATTTATATAGTTGAAACATCATTGTAAAAAAAATACTGCTCATAATGTACTTTGTCATTGTTTGACTTTGTCCTTCTTTTTATCTAAATCTGGTTCCTTTCAGTTCTAAAGACAATAAACCTTCAGAGATTATCATTCGGAGCTATTCAGCACTTAGCTGAAATGCAGGTAAGTGATTGTAATGGGTAGATTTTCAATGGAGCTTTTGTACTCACTATTGAGCAGTTGCAACAAAAAAAGATGATGAAGATTTTGTTTAAGAGGAAATAGTCCTCATACATCACAGTATTCTGTAAGACATGTTTAATACAGACATGTGTTCTGTTTCGCGTAGCCCCAGAAACCTCTAATGGTGATGGAGTATTGGTCCGGCTGGTTTGACGTTTGGGGAGAACATCACCATGTGTTCCATGCTGAAGGTATGGAAACACTTTTCAACCATCATTGAACATTTATGCTCAGCACTTGCTCAATTTCAGCCTAACTGTGCAGCCCATTTGTTCTATCACACATGTTTACACAAGCTTCACCATGGATAATATCTATTATCAGACATTCAGGTTACCACTGTTGAGCTGTTAATGTATAATAGAAGGACACTGTAACAAATGGAGAAGAGAAATGTTGGCTCACTTTTAGTGTATTGTATTTTGTACTATATATTTGGCTTACAGATATGCTTGCTGTTGTGTCAGAGCTTCTTGAGAGAGGTGTCTCCATTAATCTGTACATGTTTCATGGGGGAACCAGCTTTGGCTTCATGAATGGAGCGATGGACTATGGCACCTACAAACCTCAGATCTCCAGTTATGGTTGTTTGGAATTACCTAAGAATTCATAGACCAAAGATTTTAAAAATATATATGATTCCCTTTAAGTAATGCATTGCTTCTTACCATTTTTGCAAACCTTTTTATTGCAGATTACGACGCTCCGCTTTCTGAGGCTGGAGATTGCACGCCAAAATATCAACTCTTGAGGACTTTATTTAGCCAGTATCACTGTAATGTCTCACATCATTCATTGAGCTACATATTTTATGAGAAACTCAGCAATTAATTTGATGACTTCATTATACAGAGTAATTGAGTTTGCCTCAATCAGCGTAATGAAATGTGTTTGCCAACTTGTGTTCCAGCTAAGCCTCTTCCTGAAGTGCCGTCTCCTTGTGAGAGGAGAGTCTATGACCCTGTTAGCATCCAGCAGCACCTGTCACTGTGGGACAGCCTGCACTTCACCGACAAGGTACGCTACATAAGGCCAGCAGCTGTAGGGTGTTTTTATAAAGGCCTGATGGAAAATGTTTCATCCCAACCGTCTGGTATATAAAGGAGCATTGATGGGATGGGAGTAAAATGCAAGATGTGGTGAGCTTCAGAGAGACAGAACTGTTATCAGCCTGTGTGCCTACTTCGCTGTCTTCACTTGTATAGAGGTGTCACAATATGCTGCTCACACTCAATACAGATGTCTCACACCTGGCAGCTCAGGTTTGGTCATGCATCAAGTTGTACACACCTGCTTCTTTATTTTCTTTGTACATATTCATAGTGATACTTAAACAGCGTAAAACCAACAGTGGTGGTATCTTGCACTGCCTGTAAAACTACTGACACAGATTTCATGTCATTGTCCTCAGAGATCTGATGTGTATTGTGTTCTGCCAGATGATGTATCTAATACTTTAGGATGTCTGACAATATTGCAGCCTTTCAGGTCGGAGAAGCCGGTAAACATGGAGAATCTCCCTGTCAACAATAACAATGGTCAGTCATATGGGTACACACTGTATGAAACCATCATCACCTGTGGAGGAACCCTCAACTCAAAGAACAACATCAGAGATAGAGCCCTGGTAAGAATAGACAGATACAAACAATACATGCAAAATATATACTTAAATGTATACAACATCACTATACACAATCCTGTATTTGTCTTTTCCTTTTTTCTAGGTTTTTGTGGACAGACAATGTGTTGGTACTTTGGACTACAAGACTCATGAGCTGGCACTCCCTGATGGAAAGGTGACTTTTCTAGAGGCTATCTGTACCCTTCCCTAAATGTTTTAATTAAACTTAGACCTAGGGCCAATTACCAAAGTGCAAGGGTCAATTTGTCTAAAGCATTCCAGAAATATATTTCTGTAATGCCTTAACTTTGTAAGGTTGTAAACAATGGCTTTAACTATATGGATATATATTTAAAGTTTTTTAGAAGGATTCTGAGTTATCCGGCAGATTCCAAATTTGGAGCATGTAATTGTGTTCAAACAAGGTTAAGAGGAAATAACAACACAATGTGATTCTGAGTCATACTGTATGCATTACATGATCAACCCGATGAAGAGTACTCTCTGTTTATTTGGCTTATTCACAAACATAGAGATATGCAGGTAGTCTCACTGTGATCACTCTTCTTACCTGAATAACTTATTTTAAAAGGTTGTTTTTTGTATTGAAGGGAGAGATGACTTTGAGCTTGCTTGTGGAGAACTGTGGAAGAGTGAATTATGGGAAAGCACTGGATGAACAACGCAAAGGTATTTTGCCTTCAAACGTTGGCTTCTTGTCCTCTGCCATACATTGATTTATTGCTCTTACACCAGTTATGAAATCTGAGTAAACAAATACTCATTGTGCATTTCTCATAAATATTTCAGACCTTCAGTTTTCACATTAGAACTGATCTCCATAACGGAATTAAACCATTCTTATTATTAGAAGAATCAGGAGTACAGTCAATGTTGCATCGATCGAAACTGAAAAGTTAAAGTGGACCTATCATGCTATATTTGAAACATATATTGTAGGGCCATATCTATATAAAACATGTCTGTGAAGTTTTTTTTTCAAAATACCAAACAGATCATGCATTTTAGCCATGCCTCATTTCGCTCTATTTGCTCTTTTCCAGCCCTGTTTTTGCAAGGGCTGATTCTGCTTTTGTGGCAGACTACAGCGCCACTTACAGGCCTAGCATATGTACTACAGCGTCTCCAGCGCTTTCGAGCGGTCTCTCATTCCCCTGATAGCTGGAGAGTTGCCCACATAGGCGGAGCAACCCTTTTCTGACGTCAGAAAAATTCAAATAATAATCAGCTCCATTGCAGCCCCGTTTTTAGAGATTTGGGTATGGAGGAAAAGAGAGAGGGTTGTGTTTTCTGACACTTGGTGAGTTCCCTGACACACCTTGGACACATATTCATGTATAAAAGACATACAAAAGTGCATTTTGCATGATAGGTCCCCTTTAAATAACAGCCACATGGAAAGTTACTGATATTTTCTATATTTTATGGTATAATACGAAATCTCACATTGTACTACAGGTATTGTTGGAGACATTCTGTTGAACCACACCCCTCTGAGAGGATTTACCATCTTCTGTTTAGACATGAAGCCATGTTTTATGAAAAGGTTGGTTAACCGAATTCTATGCTATTTTGGCTCACGAGTGATTTTTACTATAACTATAATGAATAATGAATGTTTGATCTTGTTTCAGACTAATGAGTTCAGGTCAATGGAAGTCTGATGGCAAGTTGCCCTCCATCCCAGGGTTTTTCCAGGCCAGACTGTATGTGGAAGGTCCTCCAAAAGACACCTTCATCAAACTCCATGTGAGTGATCCTTTATGTTAAACTGCACCTTTATAGCTAGGAAATGTTTTATATTGATCTACTATTTATTGTATTTTTAAAATAATTTAATATATATAAAAAACAAAACATATTTCACAATATGATATTCAGCGTTAAGCTAGTATTTGCAATACAGCTGCAACTAAGACATCCTGAAGCAATTCTGAATAATTTAATGTCTTACATTCAACTGTTCTACACATGTGTTTTAATTGTTTAATTAGTAATATAACTAACATAAAGAGTACACATTGGTCTTCTGTTTAGATAAATAGATAATATATATAGATAGATAGATAGATAGATAGAGAGATGGATATATATATATATAGATGGATAGATGGATAGATAGATAGATAGATACTTTATTGATCCAGAATTGGGAAATTATTGTGTAACAGCAGCAGCAGTGTGTTGTATTACAATATTTAAAATGTAAAAGGTGGAATATTATACCTGTGGATCGATTCACAGGGTTGGGGTAAAGGAGCCGTGTTTGTCAATGGGCAGAACCTTGGACGCCATTGGTTCATTGGACCCCAGCATCACCTTTATCTCCCGGGACCTTGGCTCAGAAGTGGAGAGAATCAGGTTTATGACATTAACCCCTGCTCTCTATTTGTTTTGTAGATGAATTAAGGCACATTGTTGACATTTTTTCTATTTTTATGTTCTCTTTCAGATTATTGTTTTCGAGGAACAAAAAGCAGATGACAAAATATTTTTTGCGGAAAATCCTGATCATGGAAAGACAATTGATGTTTACAAACTCCCCTTTTGCACACTGCTGTAAAAAATAATGTACAGCAAAACACACACACACTTGGATGCAGGGGACAGTTTATTGATAACTGCAGTTCTTGTCATCATTAAAAGCTATTAGTTTACTAACCATAATGTTTTAAGTTACTATTGTACACCAGTAGCTTATGGTTATGTGTTTTCTTCATATATTTAGTGAGCTGTCACATGCCATTGATCTGTTTCCTTAAATTCAAGAATTCAATAAGGTCTCCTTTGTCTTGTTTTTGGACTTTGGTTTGAATTTTGTTCTGATTAGGAAAGAAAAAATGTCTTTGACCTTTTTGACCCTTCAAAAGCATTACATGTCCTCACAAACCTCTCATTGGACCAAAGGCTTGTCATTCACATGAGCGACGCTCCCTTACTCACCAATGACATCACACCATGGGAAACATTTCACCAGAAAGCCTAGTAACCGGAACACAAGTCTTCTATGCTTTCACAATAAAGAATAAACAACTGTTATCTTGGCCCGCTCTGACACATGTGTTGACTCAATATCTTGATTATTTACATAGTTATCTAAGATTAACTTTATACAATGTGAATATGGGTGAGCATTTTTTTAAATATACAGTGACAATGAACTATAAATTACAATCTATTCTATTGGACATTTCCTTTGGTTTTATTTTGAAATGATTAGCAGGAAGTTCAAATACCTATGGCTAGCTTAACTTGTAAATATATCCGTCAGTGTTCCTGTGTTGGCACAGCAGTTTGCAGGAAGAGCACTCGGTTATTTCAACTAGCAGAAGAGTCCATGACCATAACAACATTTTATTAGTGACTTTATATTAGCTTTATTCACATTGAATGTAAGGCTTTCGAAATGGTGGCATAGTGGTTTGTAATAGCAGCTCCACAGTACATTAGCCTAGCCGAGCTGAGCTGCTGAACTGGACCAGTTAGGAGTAGGATTGGATATGTTAAGCTAAGTTTAGTTTTATTTATAGAAATATTAGTTTGCACCTGCATCCTGACATGGAGTCAAACATTGGCACCGGTCTTTGGTGCTCTGCGGTCATTGCTGTGGGTGGACTTGTTTTTGCAGCATACAAACTCGGTTTACTCTACCAGCTCTTTCACAAGGTAGGTTGTCAAAATTCATCATGGTTATTATAAAACCTATGCTTTTATTTGCCTCTTTTTGTTTCTCTACATGCATGGCAGCTTTAAGATAAAATGCATGTAGAGAGACAGAAAGAGACAGAGTCATAGCAAACACCTGTATTCTGTAAGCTGTCCCAGGTGAAAGGTGAATGGCCTCTATTCATGTCAACTTTGACCGGACTTGTGGTTTTCTGGCACAAAGGCTATCACAACACCTAGGTTGTTAGTGCCATTGCACAAAGGGCAGAGGCACTTCACCTCTGCAGGCCACATGTGGTTGTGAAATATGAATGACAGATGGAGTAACACTGAGATAGTGAGACAGATGACCTTTAGATGGGCTATTAACTCACCCTTAGAGCTTTCCCCCCTACTTTACAAAATAGTTATTTCTGCTGAATCAGTGAGCAGACATGAATTATCCGACTAATCTCTTCTCCAACTTCACTTTTATTATGTCCCCTATCTTAATCACCTCTATAAAAAAACACAATGAATGCACACAATGCTAACAATTTCTTGTTCATTTTAATACTGTGAGTCCTGCACAACCCCCGTAATGTTGCACATTCTGCTCATAGCTACCTCTTATATTAGCCTACTTGGCAATAACCCTGTTTCTGATTCTGACCTCAGGCTGAGACGAAGAGCCCACGACATGGTGGCGAGAGCGTGGCAGAGGTGCTGCGCGCCCACGGGGTCAAGTACGTTTTCACCCTCGTCGGTGGACACATCTCCCCTATCCTGGTGGCTTGCGAGAAGCTGGGCATTCGCATTGTGGACACCAGACACGAAGCCACAGCTGTTTTCGCTGCCGATGCTGTGGCGAGACTTTCAGGTGCAGATTTATGCTATGAAATGAGATAAATGTTGGAACCTTAGTGTTATTTGAGCTCATATCATGTAACTGGCAGTTATGCAGAATACAGGACTCGGCCGTGCGGTGCCCTTGTTAAGGTGTGTCTAAGTAAATAGGGCTTTCCCTCGGCAGTAGATTTGACTTTGCAAACACAAGTGTGCATAGATTTAGCCAGGATTACATATCATTGGGCCATGGTATTCCAAACGAATTAAATACGTTTAGGTAGCTAGCTCAGTGTGTAGTTATTTCCTTGAATCAGTCATGAATGTGTGTTTTTAGGGGCTGCTTGTAACCTATCTTCATCGTCTCTTCTACAGGGACTGTTGGTGTTGCAGCAGTGACAGCTGGCCCAGGCCTCACTAACACAGTGACAGCAGTGAAGAATGCTCAGATGGCTGAATCTCCTTTGCTGCTCATGGGAGGAGCTGCTGGTACACTACTCCAGGTATGATGGTCCTCTAACCGTGTTATCCTTGCTCTTTAAATGATGTAACCTCTGTGTGTAACCTCTCCATCCACTGTGTCTGCGGGACAGGGCAGAGGAGCGCTGCAAGATATCGACCAGATGTCTCTCTTCAAGCCGCTGTGTAAATTCTGTGCCTCCATCAGGCATATCAGGGAGATCGTGCCCACCATCAGGAAAGCCCTCGCCATCGCCCAGTCGGGGACTCCTGGTCCTGTTTTCATAGAGTTCCCCATCGACACGCTCTATCCCTTCCACCTTGTGTCCAAAGAGTTTGGTGTTAAGAACCCTCCCAAAGGCCTGATGGGCAAAATTGTTACATGGTATGTAATCAACATGTCTTGTATGTATGTACAATACAATACAATACAGTACACGTATCTACACTGTACATTACTATTTACTGGAGTTTATATACACACTCAAAAATACAATAGAGAAAAGAAGACCAGTTGATTTCTAGGAAATATACATTTACAGTTTCATGAAACTACATTTTGAAGTTCTCAGAATACATTAATAAAGTTAGCAACCTCATGGGTGAATTGATACATTGTTTATAGCATGTGGGGTTTCCTTGAGAACACGTACTTCATTACAGTCATTGTTGTTAGTTTGACCTGAATTTTATTTAACAACCATAAGCTTTGTTTTTGCTTTTCTCCCTCATGATTCATGTTGATCTCAACTGTCAAAAAAAGGGGAACATGCAATAATAATGTATATAAAATGATTACCAATGATGGTTTGATTTCTTGTTAGGTACCTCAATAACCACCTCTTGAACCTCTTTGCTGGAGCCTGGGAGAAAAGAGATGTGTCTCCACTTCCTGTTGACATCCCACAAGCCACAGACGATCAGGTAAGACTGCTCTTATTAGTAAAGGGGGGGTGTAACGGAGGTGATCTTTGGGGCCATAGATCTCGGCCTCCGTTACGGATTATTTAGCTTCATTATTGGCGAGGGATATTAATCTGTTCCACCCTAAAACATTACACAGGAAGCATGTGATTATAGGTCATTTATGCATCTGTTTGTCGCGATCTCTCTGTGTTTTAGTTTGTCTGTCTCTGTTTCCTGTTTTAGTTTGAAAAGTGTTCCCCCTCCCGTCTTGTCTGTTGCTGCTGAGTTGTGTTCACCCGGTGCCCT